CTACGACCCTCCCATTGAGCTGAAGCATGTATATAATTTGTTCACTAGGTAGTTCTACCTGGAAGTCCACTGCACCACAAAATGGATGTGCTTCAAATTGAACTATTCCTCACTCAAAACTTAGGCTTAGGTGTGTCAACCTCCCCATCTCCCAGGTGCAGAAAATGTATCTGTGCATACTGTGATCATGGCATTTATCCCTGCACTGTAGTTAAAGCGTGTGTGAATCTTGAACAGGAACAACACTGTCTTCCCTTCTCTCTATATAGCATAGTGTCTGACACATAGAGGCGCTCAATAATTTTTATTTTAGCAAAGTATAGTCACTCCCATACATTTTTAAAGAATAAATGTGTGGCGCAATCATCTCCAGAATTACACCGACACTTCTAGGTCTAATGGCCACACAGCAAAATCAGCCTCAGTTATCCTGTTGTTATCATATCTTAAGATCTAGAAAGGGGAACACAGGATTGTGGGAGTAGGTTAAGATTTCTCAGTTCCCAAATTTTTCTGCGTGAGACATTTTATGCTAACTCCAGCAGGATTTGCGTACAATGTTCGTGATCTGGGGTGGATCACTTCCATTCTATAACCTTTGAGATAAACGGTGCTGAGCTGCCAGGATCCCAGCTGCCACTTATCGCACACAGAGACACGGGTAGTTGTGGTTATGTTGCAGCCAGACGTCCTTCTACCGTGTCCTTTGCTCAAATAAACCAACCTAATAGCGCTCCAATAGAGAGGGCAGGGCTCTTTACTCGGTAGAACATACCTGGCTTAGCCAAGGGTAACAAGGTACCGCCTTCAAACACCAGGCTAGTAACAAAACGTGTGCGGAGGAGGACGGGTGGGGAACCGAGAGCATGCCATTGCCTAAGGCACGCAAATTTAAGGTACACACACACAAAAATGCTTTACTAGGCCACACATGCCCTAGGGCTGCCCGTGACCCCTGTTCCCAGTCAGTCACCAGGGACAGGGGCGAAGGAGGCGAAAAACAACTGCACTACTAAATGAACAAGTCAATAGGATAATGAGTACAGAAAGAGCCTTCTTCAGTGTTCTAAATTGCCCTGATCCGTGGAGTGCAATGTACAACCTTATTTTCCAGTCTGTGTAGGTCTCCGCTAGGGAGGTGACATCCCGCGAATTGCGTGTTGGCCAGTTATTAAACGGTTCCCCTTCAAAGCCCGGCGCAGTGCCTGGGCACTCAAAAGGAGTGTCTGAGGAACGCTTGGGTGAAATGAACAGAAGGTCGGGCCGAAATGAGGAGGGGAGGGCTCGGCGAGCCGGAGGAGGGTGATAGAGGGAGGAGGACTCATGGAGCGGGAGGAGGAGAGGAAGGGCACGGAGGCGGGGAGAGGCTGGACCGCTCGGAGGACGAGGGGCGGGAGCCTGGAGAGACGCGCTGGAAGAGGCGGAGCGCGGAGGAGGACTGCCAGCTTCCCGCCCGCGCTCCCGGCCGGCTCCGAGCAGGCGCCGTGGCTGCGCCGGCGCCCGCGCCCCCTCCCCGCCCTCCGCCGTCGCCAGGGCTCCGGCTCGCGTCAGGCTGGGCCCGCGGCCGACGGCCTCGCGTCTCCACAGCGCGCCGCCAGCATCGCTCTCGGCCGCGCCGCGCCCGACGGGCCTGGCCCTGGTTCCGGCCCTAGCGGAGGTAACTGCCCGCAGATTCCTTCCCGCCACGTCCCAGGCCTCCTCCCGACGCCGCCCGGCCCGGGCCTTCCCGGTGCCCCCCACACACCCTCCTATCTTGCCTGTTCGTGTCCCCCGTAATTCCCCGCCGTCTCCTCCTCACCCGGCCCCTCGTCCATTCCCACGGCCGACTCCTGGCCCATCCTTGCTCTGGGCCTTCCCCAGCCTCCCCGGCGTCGTCCTCACGCCATCGTGTCCGCAGGTTGACGGAGCCGGGAGCCCCGGGGGCCGGGGTCGCCCTGCCGGCGTGGGCAGTATCCGGTTCGGGCCAGACGTCGGCCCCGGGCCTGAGTCTTCCAGCTCCCGTCCGGCTCCCGTCCTCGCAGACCGCGTGGGACACCTCAGAGGGGTCCCTTGGGATGTCTCCTGCGAGGTTGTGGGGGCGGGGGGGGAACGCCTGTGTTTGACCCTAGTTGGTGATAGATCAAGCACTGAGGAATGGACGCGATTTCTTAGGCTTGTCCGTAGTTGAAACCGAAGAATTTGAATTCTCTTGAAATTGCATTTCGCCAGTTTGTCTTTAAGGGTACTTTTGGCTTTTTGTAGACTTAGCATATTACTCCTCCCAACATATTTTGTGAAATGTGATTGAATTTATTTTTATTTCTCTTTCTTCCATTAACTAATTTTACTTGTTTTGTGATGTTTATTATCCATCAGTGGCATCAGTGTTTGAGAGCGAGTTCAGCATGTAGAAGTAGCCTTTGCTACATAACAAGTGATTTTCAGAGTTCCAAAAGATGGAAGACCAGCCGTCATCAAATCCTATAGGGCTCTGTCCTCAAATCTTTAAGTTAGCTATCTTTTTATCCTTGACATTTTTTTTTTTTGACAGCAAGTGCAATTCCAAGTCCTTTACATTTTAATTGCAAAAGATATATTTAAATATACATCTGGAGTATTTTAAAGCAAACCCCTGGCATAAATACTCAAGTATATACCATATCGCTCATATCCAGGAGAGGTAAGAACTTAAAAAAAAATAACCATAATAGAATACAACACCAAAATTAACATTAATTCCTTAATATCATATAGCGTCTGTTAGAATAGAATCATTGATAGACTTTAATGATTCTAATTGAATCATGTTCAATTTTTCCTGATTGTCTTTTTAAAAATTTTAAATAATTTCACATTTACAGAAAAGTTGGAAGAATAATATACAAGTTGTTTATATCTTGACCATGCTTTATCCTTCTCTTTATACATGTGCATACACACACATACTTTGTTGTGAACTATTCGAGAGTGGGTTGCCTATATCATGCCTCTCTCCCCCTTAATACTCAGTATTTCCTAAGAGCAATGATGTTCGTTTATGTAAATAAGTACAGTTATCAAATTCAGGAAATTATTATAGTATTGATATATGCTGTAGGTCATATTCCAATCTTGTCATTTGTCCCAATAATATCCTTTATAGCAAACTATCTTTCCTGATACAGGATATAGTTCAGGGTATTATATTGCAATTAGTTGTCTTATGTAGTTAATCTTTAATTTGGAATCGCTCCTGAGCCTTAATTTCTAATGACACTAACATTTTTTAAGAAATTGTAGCCCAGTATTTTTTATTATTTTCCTCAATTTGGATTTGTTTCCTCATTGATTTAGGTTTGCATTTTGGCTCTGGAATACTACATAAGTAATGTTAGGTCTTTCCAGGTGATCACATCCAGAAGAGCATGATGTCTGCCCCTTATTATTTAAGACAGTATCCATTTTCTTTACCAGATTGTTTTGCGTTTTTGCAAATTATTAAGTAATTTGTGGGGAGATACTTCTAGACTAGGTAAGTGTTTTGTTCCTCATCAGATTCCTCCCTCTCCCTCTGCCTGATTTAGCATCTATTGATGATTCTTGCCAGAATCAGTTTTTACTATGATAGTTGCAGAATGGTGACTTTCCACATCTACTACCGTATCAGTATGATCTTAATGATTTTTAATTTATTTAATAAGTTGTAACATGTTGCACATTTATTTTGATGCTCAAAGTGTCCCAGATTTGGCCCTTCAAGCTGGTGCCTATTTCTTTTTGACATGCCCCATCATATATTTACTTCCTTACTTTGGAACAAAATGTTCCAGGTCCACTGAGTTTCTTCCCTACCCTATCCCTGAATTTGGCTGTTTTTCCAAGGAGCCCTGGTTCCTCTGAATGAGGAATGGTATTTGGAAACCAAGATCTGGGTGCTAGATATGCTTATTGCTACTGGGGTGTCATTGCTTCTAGGCCATTTTAGAGTACAGAGCTAGAAATCATGAGTTTTTATACTAGTACTTCCAATTCTAATCCAGCCCCTTAGGGCTCTTCCTTACCTCTCCCTATTCTATGACTGTATACCCTTTTAGCCATAGTGAAGAATGCTGGCTCCCATTAATATCAGTCTATTTACTCTTACTCAATCTTATAATGTATTTAGTTATATATGTGATGATTTTTCCCCTCCTCCCTTTAAAATATCATTTATTTGCTAAAGAAACTGCATCATGTATCCTGTGGAATTGCTAACAATTTATCCTGTAGAATCCTTCTTAATTTGGTTAATTATATTCTCCTAGTGTGTTTAAAATGTTCTTTCATTCTCTTTATTTCCTATCAAGTTGTAGTTAGACACAGATTCAGGTTCAGTTTTTAATTTTTTGTCCTTTTTTAGAGGCAGCATCTCACTTTTGTCAGCCAGGCTGGAGTGCAATGGCATGATCATAGCTCACTGTAACCTCCAACTCCTGGGCTCTTGTAATCCTCCTGTCTCAGCCTCCAAGTAGCTAGGACTATAGGTATGTGCCACCAGGCCCAGCCAATTTTTTTTTTTTTTTATCTTTTCTAGAGACAGGGTATTACTGTGTTGCCCAGGCTGATCTTGAACTCCTGGCCTCAAGCAAGTCCTCCTGCCTCAGCCTCCCTAAATGCTGGGATTACAGACATGAGCCACCATGCCCAGCCTAATTTCTTGTCTTTATAAGAATATTTCATAGATAGTTCTATGTACTTATTTATGTAGCATGATATCATGAGGAATATAATATCTGTCTGTCTCACTGTTAGCAATTCTAAGATCGATTAGTGGGTTTAGGGCATGTCAGTGCATCTGTTATAAAGTTCCTAGTCTTTCCTAATAGTTTTCGCAGCCACTGATACTGTTGACTGGATTTGTTATTTCATTAGGAGATACAAATGATGCTTTTTCTAAATTAAGATGCTCAGTAAATATTATGGGGTATTTATTATCACCATTATTATTATTTATAGCATCTTGGGACTGTTTTTACTCAATTGGTCATGATATCTTAACAAACATGGAGATAAGACTAGAAATTTTGACATCAACAAGTATCAAGCAGAAAAAACCCTGGCCACGAGTCTCCTGGTTGGGACAGGTATGTTTTTCTTTATTCAAGCAATACCAGTTTTATATATGTTGCATGTGTGTTTTGTCTGTGAGATATAGGAATGTTCTCTGGTCTTAAAGAAATAAAACATCATTTTTTGAAGAGTCACCTACCTGCACACTAAACAGGGATTTTTGTATGTTTGGTTTTTATTATAATGAGCACGTTAGTTTTTCCAGAAAGTTAAGTGGTCTATCTAGAAGAAGACTTTTACTTTCAAAAAATTTAAGTAGGTTGAGATGGCATAAATCAAAAGGAAATATTTGATCTCCTAAACTTTCCCCTACCAGAACAGTCAGTGGAATGTTTTCTTCTCTTGTGGTTTTCATGAGTGTGTTATGAAGTGTCCTTAGAACTAGAATAGAAGAGATGGACCATGGTATGTTAATAATTCAGGAATGCCATTCATAATATATGGGATAGATTCCTCACTTGGGGAAAGTGGGCAAACCTATAAAATCCTCTTAGAATTTATGATTATTGAAATAAAGTATCAAATTTCCTGTGAGAACTTATACCACTAATTATCTCGCCTGGAATAGTTCTCAAACTTTACAATACATCAGAATCATCTGGAGATGCTGTTAAAATGTGGATTGCTGGACCCCACTCCTGATGTTTCCAATTGAGTAGGTCTGGGATGGGGTTGGATAATTTGTATTTATTTTTTGTTGTTTTTATTTCTTTTTTAATAAAAAAAATTTTTTATGGACAGGGTCTCACTCTGGCACCCAGACTGGAGTGCAGTGGCCCAATCATAGCTCACTGGCAGCGTCAAACTCCTGGGATTAAGTGATCCTCCTGCCTCAGCCTCCTGAGTAGGTGGGACTACAGGCGAGCACCACTGTATGCCTGGCTGATTTTTCTTGTTTTTTTGTAGAGATGGGGTCTTGCTATGTTGTCTAGGACTCCGGGCCTCAAGTGATCCTCCTGCCTCAGCCTCCCAAAGTGCTGGGATTACAGGCATGAGCCACCATGGCTGGCCGATAATTTGTATTTCTTCCCCACCACTGTCTCTTAGTTTCCTTTATCTGACATGCCAGAGATAATTTGTATTTCTACCAGGTTCTCAGGTGTTTCTGGTGCTCCTGGCTCAGTGATATTTGAAAATCACTGCCCTAGAATATATGAAAACAAAGTTAATTCAAAACAGCCTACAGCCTACTTTTTCCAGATAAGAAAAAATGATCAGAGTCAAGACTTTATGAATTTCAGAATTAAAACTTGCCCGTACTACTGTTAAAATTGATAAGACCCAGGTGCATTGTCAGGTGTCTATAGTCCTAGCTGCTTAAAAGGTTGAGGTGGGAGGATCCTTTGAGCCCAGGGTTCTGCGTTGTAGTTTGCTATGCTGGTCAGGTCGCTGCACTGTTTGGCATCAGTATAGTGACCTTCTGGAAGTGGAGGACCACCACCAGGTTATGTAAGGAGGGGTGGGCTGGCCCAGGTCTGAACTGGAGCAGATTTAAACTCCCATGCTGATCAGTGGCGGGATTGTGCCTGTGAATAGCATGCACTCCAGGCTGGGCAACATGGCCCATCTCTTTAAAGAAAAAATTGATAGGTTAAACAGCAGATATCCCAATTTTGGCTAACAGAATTGGAAGACACTCCTATAATTTTAAACTTGAAAGAAATTTAAATGCAACCATTAGGTCACCTTACCTAGTTATTCTAACAAATATTTTAAAACAAAATGAAAAATCTTCAGGTTACTCTAGGGTATCAACCTTAATGTTCACTTTATGATTTGTTGTACAAATGTATAATCTTTCTTAAATGTCACTTCGTTTTCGGGGATAATTTATTTAGACAACAGATGGAATTAACTTCTGGCACCTCTTAAATCCTTCATGTGTTTCTTTTAGGAAAATGAAGCTGTTTTTCTTTTGGATGATAAATTCATAAATGAAATTAATTTGCTGTCAGGAAGGACAAAGAAGAAAATTCCTAGTCTGAAGCCTTTGTTGAAGGATGTTATTGTGCTAACAACATCCAGTAATGGTTAAGTAATAATTAATATTTTCAAATGGCTAGATTAATCTGCATTTTAAATAATTAAGGATTATATTAAGGAAAATATTATAAGTATTGCATTTCATTTCTGGAAACAGATGCCTGGCTAGGTGGAGTACTTACTACAGGGGAGCTTTTCCTTTGGAACAAAGATCAAGATTGTTTGAAAACTATACAAGTAACTGAAAAGCCTAAGGAAATGATTGAAGCTACAGTAGGTAGGAATTTTTTACTTGTTTAAAGTGGTTTAATAGGAGAAGTAGGAGGAAAAAGAGGATGAAAAGTTTTCTATATTGTCTTAAAAATGTATCTTTGCATGTGCATATGTATTAATATATCTGTATATATGTTTCATATATATATGTTTATGTATATGTATATTTTATTTTCTGTGATGTTTATCTGTGATATCTAGATTCAATTTGAAGAAGAAAATTCTGGCATCCCTAACATTTCTGTTGTAACCATGAGTTACCAGTATCACATAATAAGTACTTGATCAATGTTACTGTTATTTGTACTTTTAATTTATTACTAGTGCCTTAGTTTTGACATCTTAAATGGTAACATCATTTGGTTTCTTACTGTAAGGATAGATAAATCATGTACTTTCTTGGGGGAATTCAGACTTTAAAGGTTTAATTACTTTTTTTCTTTTCCTCTTCTTTTTAGCAAATTCTTTGAGACTGTACTTGTATGTTTCTGGAAATGGGAAAAGAATTCTGCTTGTAACACCTTCTGGATGCATATTTCTTTGGGAATACTTGGAATTAAAGAATATTTTATATACTAAAAGCCTTTCATTGGTGGGTCAGTGGTCCCAGGTCATACCTGAAAGAACAGTTCTTTTGCCTTCCACTGAAGATAAAGAAGCTGTAGTGAATGCTGTTTTTATAAAAAATGAGGTAAAATCTAAATCAGACAGGGTATTATAGGAGTTGAAATCTCAGACTGTAAGAATAGATACTATTTGTGAAGCTTTTTAGCAGAATGTGTAATGGCATAGCTATATATGTTTAGTAACCATTGTCATAGAAACTGAAATTATTGTATGGAAAAGATATTTGGTATTTCTTTGGTCACTTTTTTTTTAAGAGACAGGGTCTTACTCTGTCACTCAGGCTGAAATGCAGTGGCCCAATCATAGCTCACTGCAGCCTTGAACTCCTGGGCTCAAGTGATCCTCCTGCCTCAGCCTCCCAAGTATCTAGGACTATTAGCCACAGGGCCTGGCTAATTTTTTTTTTTTTTTCAATTTTTTTTGGTAGAGACAGGGTCTTGCCTTGTAGCCCAGACTGGGTCTCAAACTCTGGGCCTCAAGTTATCCTCCCACCTTGGCCTCCCAATGTGCTGGGATTTCAGGCATAAGCCACTGCACCTGGGTCACATTTTAAAAAAATATTTATTAATGGTTTCAATTTAGAACTTCCTTTCTATATCCCTGATTTAAAAATATAACTTGTTTTGTAATTTAAGCTAGAATTGGTGATACCAAATAAGCCATTTAATACCCAGGACATAACAGATTCATTAATTTAAAAAATTAAAATAGCTGCCCAATACTCTATGTATGGATCAATATTTTATTACCCAATCCACTATTGTTACAAATTGCATTTTGAAATTTTATCATTCTCCCCCACACCTTAGGAGTGATACCCTAATTTAAATAATAAAAAACTATAAAAGAAGAGGTAAATATATAAGACTCTTTCAGTTATAGCCACAATAAATGTCAATATTTTCTGAAGAGCATAACCTGCAACCTGATTTCCCATTTGGGACCTGCCTCTGGCTCAGAAAAAAATTACTTAAGCTTACTGTTAAAAATAAAAATACAAGCAGGATCTCAATGTTTTTCATTTATTTTTGATGAGGAATATATTTTTATGTTTTTTGTATCTTGATTTATTTTCAGATTAATTTTATACTAAAGTATATTAAATTTATCTACAGTTATTTGGAGACTGCTGCTTGTGTTCATTTACTTTTTATTCTGGGGAATGCCTAAAGTTAACGTTTCTAGCAATTCGGTGGCATGAGAATGTATTTACACCTATAAGGTAAGATAAATGTTTCCTTCTTACTTATTTTCTATCTTTTTTGAATCATTATCTTGGCTCATATGTACATATTAAAATTTGTAAATGTTTATGTGAATTTCAGTTTCTGAGGCTTTACGCATCCTTTCTTCCCATCTTCCTAATTGTTTAATCTAGAAAGTTTATCTTTTTGTTTTGTTTCTCTTAGAAATGAGAACATGTAACAGATAAGATAGGTTATAGCTTTACTTAAGACTATAAAAATAACTACTTTGGAAAATAATTCAACTGAAATTTAAAATGGGCATAAATATTTGGATTTACTATTGTACCTTTTAAATGCTCAAGTGTTTTTTTTTTAATTAAAAATAGTTTTATTCTAAAAAGCCCAATGAAATAGAAAAAATGCATTCAAAGGTTACCATGTGTAAATAAGACTTAGTAAAATGGCATGAGGTTTTTTTTCTGTTTTATTTTTTATGCCAACAATACTTTATTAAGATATAACTTAAGTAAAACAAACAAATCTTAAGTATACAACTAGATGATGTTAATAAATATACATACCTGTATAACCATCACTTAGCTAAATTGTAGGACATTGACATTATCTAAAAAAGTACCCTCCTCTCTACTTTTTTAATCCCTATAAAAATGTTTGATATATGTAGAAATATGTTTTTCTAAACCTTTACTATAAGCAGGTGTATTTGGGGTTGACTATGGAATATGGTTCTACCAACAAAACTCTGATACTGAAATTATTTAAGTAACTGGCAGCTATTTTTTTTGTGCCCTGGATGAAACTTGCGAAAGGTCTCTAAGAAGCCTAACTAGGTATATAAGCACATTTAGGAATTTGGGTGAACTTTTACATTTTTTGTAATAAACTATATATCAATTTAAAAATTACTATACTTTCTGTTTTCAATTATTTCATTACTTTCTTAGAGCATTGCCATACCATGTTCACTGGGCACAACAAGAATGCCTTCTGGGTAGTCTCATTCCTAAATGTGAATCGGTAAAGTCAAGAGGAGCTCTAATTGCTGCCTTTTCAAGAGATGGCCTTACCCTGGCAGTAACTCTTAATCAGAAAGACCCCAAGGTCAGTAAATATAAGTTTAGAAAATAATCTATATAAGAGGGAGTTTATTCCAGTTTTGAGATATTTTTTCCTTGAAGATGGTTTTTTATCTTAATACTACTTTACATTCTTTTAATTGGTGTTTTCTAATCCAACTTGACATGTGTATTGCTAAAGTTATTTAAATTAGCTGCCACAATTTTCAAAAGATAGCCTTTATAACTGAAAAAAGGACAAGGGAAAAGGAGGAAAGAAGAGCTGAATGATAACTGATGTTCTTAGGGTGGAGTATAAAAGAGCAAAGGCAATGGCAGGTCAATGTTGTCTTGCCAGCTGGGAAAGACTCTAGATAGTTTATTAATATAAGGATCGATCTCTAGGTCTCCAGCATTGTAAATAATGATTATAGTAAAATAATTTTTATGGTTTTTTTCTTTCTAGGCAACTCAGGTATTATTTATAAACACACTGAATTTTGTTACTCTCTATGGTAGCCTTAAAGGATGTAGTAGTAAGAATCCTGTGGTTCCAGCTACTCTTATCAGGTAAGAAGTCTTAAATTTCTAAGTAGTGTTTTTATTTTCTTTTCCAATAGTCTAACAAGATTAAGGCTCTAATTATTCAATAGCTATCATTTAGATAGAAAATGCAACTTATCTTCAGTATTTGTGCTTGATAAATTCTAAAGGTTGTTGCTTGGCATGGTGGCTCACGTCTGTAATCCCAGCACTTTGGGGGAGTCCAAGGCGAGAGGATTGCTTGAGGTCAGGAGTTCAAGGAGCAACGTAGTGAGACCCCTGACTCTACAAAAAAAGATTTAGCTGGGCATGGTAGTGCATGCCTGTAGTTCTAGCTACTTGGGAGGCTGAGTTGGGAGTATTGCTTGAGCCCAGGAGTTCCAAGTTACAGTGAGCTATGATCAGGCCACTTCACTCCAGCCTGAGTGACAGATTGAGACCCTGTCTCTAAAAAAAAAATTTAACGGTTGCTTTGTATAAGGAGAGCTATAAATACTTTAAGGAATGGTTTAGTGGTTGGAAGATACGTGTATATATTTTCTTTTCTCTTTCATTCATTTCTATGTCTTCTTAGGAGAACTTTAATTATGAGTAAGTAGAGAAATGTTGGGCTTCAAGAGAGAAGCTAAAATGAAAAAAAATCTAGATTAGAAAGACCATTATTTACTCAGGGAGGCTGGGGTGTTTATATCCTTTTAAACAAAGTTGGTATCCTCTGCATATGCCATAGATGGTGATTTTGGATGGCACATGAGCTACCCTCAGGACCCATGTGGGATTATAGAGTAGGAAGATTTTCTCCTGGAGCTGCTAACTTCTTTTCCGAACACTTTTCCGTGCTGTTCTCTGAATTTCCAGAGTTTTCAGGTCCATCCAACCTTGCCTCTTCATTTTCTTTCCCTCCCCACAATTTCCTTTCCAATGGAATCATTAGTCTTAATTAAGTGATCTGTTTGATTTAGGTTGTCCATCATTTTTATGAGGAGGAGCTACTTTTTGTTCTCATGCAACATTAATGTTACCAAATAGTTAAGTGGTAGTAACAGTGATAGCTTTGGGAAGAGGTAGAGTCACCTATTTACGGGGACTCTAGAAAGCTGCAGGGAAGACAGGCATGGCCTTGAAATCTATCCAGTAGTTCTTGGTTGTAGACTCCAGTAGGATTAAAAGTCATTCTAATTAAAATGTGAGTGATTAAAAAGCTCAACTCTTTAGGAAGTATTTTTTTTAGTTGCTTATGAATCTAAATTTCTAATTGGAATATTGTTGGAGTAGATGGTCATGAGCAAACTCCTTTTTTCCTAAGAAGTAAAATTCACGAAATGTGTGTGGCAGTTGCCTACTATTTATTCTTTTGTACTCAATTTTTGAACTGTCACATATAGCACATTATAAATTGCCGAAGACATTGTAGAGAGTCCTTTCTAAACATGTTGTCTCTTATTTTTTCTAGGTCCTACTGGGTAGGTGATATCAGCTGGACACATGACAGTCTTTTTTTGGCTTGTGTGTTAAAACGTGGTTCCCTGGTTTTATTGACTTGCCAAGGTGAATTGCTAACATTAATTACATCTGGTTGCTCAATAGAATTTGGGCCAGCAGAATTTATTCCTCTTCATCCACTAATAACCTATCGGTGAGATATTTGAATCATGTTAATTTGTTTATAGAAGTTTTTCCTTTTGTTATTACTTTTACTGTATATTTTTTAAAAATTTCATCTTTCAAATTGTCTTATTCTTTCTTTGAGTCTATCATCTCAATATCTGTTTCTTATTTATAGTTTTCTTCTATTTCTTTTTGTGGCTTAATCCTGGTGAAAATTTGACATTGTGACTATGTAAGTATAAGTTACTTAAATATTCAATACCACTAAAAATTTATCTTCTTTGATATAAAAGTTAATAAAAGTATGATATAGCATTTATTGTTATAAAATAATAGCACTTAGGTAAATTAATGCCTCAAAATTAACTTGACATACAGAGTTATCCACTTTTTTATAAAACGGAAAATGTTGTTGGAAATAGATGGCTTTAGAATTTGGCCATATTTTAATTGTTAACTGAGATGAAGTAGGAGTTTGGCTTTGGAGTCAGATCAAGATTCAAATATTGGTTCTTATATGACTTTGGGTTAGTTACTCTATTTTACTGTGAAATGAGGGTGACAATAATTGTCTCAGGGTTGGGGGAATGAAGTAAGATAATGCATAATTATAAATCACCAGTTCTGGCATAAAGTACTCATAAATATTTGTTATTGATGTTCATTATATAATATGTAGCTAGAAAGATAAACACAGCTATTTATAAAACAGAAAAATTGGAAAAGACCTTTGAAATTAATCCATTCTCTTTGCTCTACAGAAAGGAAACTGAGGCAGGGTGTGCCCTTGATTATGATTAGCAAAAAGTGATACTTCATTTTTAGCAATGCATAATGTTAATGGAAAAATTTGTCACTTCCTCCAGTGAAAGTATTTTTTTTTTTTTTTTTTTACTTCTTATGGTCCAGTTCATAATTAACTAGATTTCCTCACATTCTCTTTTTTTTGAGACAGAGTCTCACTCTGTTGCCTGGGCTAGAGTGCCGTGGCATCAGCCTAGCTCACAGCAACCTCAAACTCCTGGGCTCAAGTGATCCTCCTGCCTCAGCCTCCCGGGTAGCTGGGACTACAGGCACGCGCCACCATGCCCGGCTAATTTTTTCTATATATTTTTAGCTGTCCAATTAATTTCTTTCTATTTTTGGTAGAGACGGGATCTCGCTCTTGCTCAGGCTGGTCTCGAACTCCTGAGCTCAAACAATCCGCCCGCCTCAGCCTCCCAGAGTGCTAGTATTACAGGCGTGAGCCACCGTGCCCGGCCCTCACATTCTCTTTTAAAATTTATATTTGGGGCCTTTCAAGATTGATTGCTTTTTTTCTGATTACAAAAGTATAATACATATTCATTATTTAAAAATAAAAGTTTAAAAATCAAATGTTATAAAACTAAGTAATTTAGAAAATGAAAGACTTCTAATCTTGTATTTTAGAGATAAGAATTATTCACATTTTAGTGTGTTGTCCTGCAAATTTTAAAAATATTCACATAACATAGTAATAGTATTAGTTTCCTTTTAAAAACAAGGTAAATTATATGATATATGCTGTTTACTGTTTTCCTCTTTTGATTTAACATTATATCTTATACATTTTTCTGTGTCAGGCATTATTTTCTAGTGGTTCTAAAGATTTCTGTGGTGTATACATTTTATAATTACTAATCTCCTATTGTTGACCATTTGACTAATTTAAAAAAAAAAAAAAAATCTATATTTGAATAGTTGCCTGACCAGAAAACAATTACAATATATTTTGATGATTTGTTCCGTTTATGTTTATAAAGCTCTAAACTTAATAGGAGTGATAATAAGTAATCAGAATCAGGTACATCATAACAACAAATAAGTACGTTTATGTGGAAACTCAGTCAAATTTAATCTTAAACTGATAAAATTAGCTGGGCCTGGTGGCTCACACCTATAATCCCAGCATGTTGGGAGGCTGAGATGGGAGGATCACTTAAGGCCAGGAGTTCCAGATTATAGTGAGTTATAATCGGGCCACAGAACTCTAGCCTGGGCAATAGGACAAGACCCTGTCTTTAAAAAACAAAAAAAAAAACCTGGTAAAACTTTATTTACCACCATCCTCTTCAAATGTTCTTCTCAGTTTTTTTTCTTTCTCCTTAATAATAAATATACTGATAACTCATAATTGTATTCCTGTAAGTATATTTAAATGTATGGTGAGAAGGAAAGGTCACTATTTAACTTTCTTTAATAGTAAAAATAAATTGCCCTAATTATTTTCTGAAATAGGTTGTATGTAGATAAAAAACAAAATATAATAAATGCCACCATTCAGGAAAAAATTTTTAAGACATATAAACCTACATATATAAAATCATTATATTTTCCTGACAGAGAAATACACATTTAATATTTTTGTATACGTTTCATCTGTTTGTTTTTTCATTTGTAACTTTTGTTAGTTTGCTTTTTCTTTGGAAAAATATGATTGTTTCCATTAAGATCTTTCTCTTACTGATTCTTGAATTTTGATGTTTGTTTACTAGACCACAGCAGTTTATGTTTCAAGATTCAAATAATTCTGTAGATTCATCAGCTTCTGACAGTGACCCTATGAGGCAGAGATTTTCTATAAAAGCACACTCACGGTTACCCTACCTCATTATTTCTGATGGATACATGATCACAACCCTTCGATTTCTTGATAAACTGTCTCCGTCAGTACTCATGAGATCACTTCTACTTGATTCAACCCAGAGGCTTGAGAAAACATACCGAAGTGTGATACTGTCTAAGGTATTAGTGCTTTCTGGTATCATTGGTAAACGTTGCCTTCTTTTTCTTCTCTAATTTAAAACTATACTGACTTGAATTATGTACAGTTGTTTATAGAATTTCTAATTGCTTATTACTGAATTGCAGTTAAAATTTTGCTCTCAGAAATCTTTCTTCTTCTATAGCCAAAGAGCAAAGAGCTGAACTTGCAATCACTGAATTCCCTGAGGTCTAGCCTGTTAAAACACCAAGGACATGAAAGTTCAGCTGATTCCACTATCCCCAAATTCTTGCAAACAGAAGAAACAATGAAATTAAATGAAAAAACAGCAGACTTTCAGGTACTTAGTAGCAGTATTATATTTACTTTGGACGATTACATATTGACTTTATTCTAAAATACGTATTTTATTTTTCTCTTGTTAAAGGGAAGAGAGATTTGAGAACACCAGAGTATTCTATTTATAAAGTATTAAATGGTGTTAAGATCACTTTTCCCCTCTTATTTTAGGATTTTGAAGCAGAAGAAACTAATGAAGGCAGATACTTTCCAAACAATTTATTTCCTTTTTGGAACCAAAAAAATGATCTGCTATTTAGCAATGTCAAGGAAGGAAGATTGGAGTTTGCATCTATGTTTGATACGGTACATGCAAAGGATGATACTGAGGAGACAGACAGAACCATTACAGAACTGCATTCTATCCAGAAAAATCTACTTGCAGCATGGACTATAGGAATTTCAAAAAATGCAATAGAGAAAAATTTAATGTTAAATTACACGGTAGTTTGTATCACTCATTTTTTCTACATTCTTCAGTTTATAAAATGTCCTTTCCCCAAACTTGATCTTTTTTTAAGCAAGAGCTCAAGATATAATGCATGGATACTTTGTGTCTTTCAACTTTTTCATCAGTGTTTATCAATCCAGTATTGGGATATCAGATATAAACAAGATGTCGGACATTTGATAAAGCTGACCTCGAATACTATAAAGCTTTTGCTAACTCAACAACAAAAGGGTCAGTTGTTCTCAGAGAAACTTTTAGCCTGTTTTTATTTACTCAAAATGGTAGCTGACAATTTAAATGATATATACAGTCTCCAACCTGAAGTTGTTTTAGCTTCAGCTGATGGAGGAAGAACAGCAGTTAAAGATTCATTGGTGGTACCTATTTTTCGATTGTTTCGAGACAGTGGCTCTCAGGAAAACTGGTCTCAGAACTCATCTTTTGAGATTCATCCTCAAGTAATAAATCTTGTGCAACAGCCAGGACACAGGTATAATTACTTACTTTAATATTAGGTTACTATTAGCATTATAGGTTTTTTACTTTTTAAAAAACTGAGATATAGTTCCCATGTTGTAAAATTCACCATTTTAAAATATACAGATGAGTGGTTTTTAGTATACTTACAAGGTTGTGAAACTATTAGCACTAATTCTAGAATATTTGTATCACCCTAGAAAGAAACCCTGTATCTGTTAAAACTCACCATTATCAATTTTATATTATTAAAAAAGTAGAGCTGGGCATGGTGGCTCATGTGTATAATCCCAGCTACTTGGGAGGCTAAAGTGAGAAGATCACTTGAACCCAGGAGTTTGATGTTGCAGTGAACTGTGATCATGCCACTGCACTCCAGTCTGGGCAACAGAATGAGACCTCTTCTCTAAAAAAAATTTTTTTTTTTTAAAATTTAAGGACATATTTCCAAACATGTATACAATAAATATATATAATTTTTATTTGTCGATTAAAAACATTTTAGGATTTATGCCAAATGTTATACAACATATATATTTTTTTTTTTTTGAAACAGAGTCTCGATCTGTTGCCCAGACTAGAGTGCAGTGGTGTCGTCATAGCTCACTGCAGCCTCAAACTCCTGGGTTCAAGTGATCCTCCTGCCACAGCCTCCCAAGTAGCTGGGACTAAGGCATATGCTGTCACACCTGGCTAATTTTTTTTCTGTTTCTAGTAGAGATGGTGTCTCACTCTTGGTCATGCTGCTCTTGAACTCCTGACCTCAAGCGATCCTCCTGCCTTGGCCTCCCAGAGTGCTAGGATTATGGGTGTGAGTCACTGTGCCCAGCCAACATACATTTTTTTAGTCTTGGGCAACCATGATGTTTAAAGATTTTGGTTTAGATAAAAAAAATGACCACAGGTGCATAAAACATTTGTGAAGATTTTTTATACATATTATGCATTTTTAGATCATTGGACTTTGCACTATATTTAAGTCTGATCAGTTTGTATGTATTGGTGAAAAAACAGGCTAAGAAAGGGGCTAAACTCATTCTTATCATTAGTCTGAAATTTGTTTTTGATTACCTGATTCTGTGTACAGATTGATTGTTCTCTGGAGAGTATTATACAAGAAAACTTTATGGTATCAAGCACAATTAAGCCAAAGAGTTTCTGAAGGTGACAGAGAGTTAACTGAAAAGATGAGACACGAAGCATCTACTGTCAAGTCCCTGTTATGTCATATACAGGCTAACTTACAGACTGCTGGAGATTGCTTGAGCCAAACCTTAGAACTTAAGTCTATCAATGGTCAGTATCTTAAAACATTTTCTAACTCCATGAATAGGTGATACAGTTAACCAGTTTTGATTTTTTTAGTTCATTGCAATTATTTTTTTAAAATAATTTCTTGCTTAGCTGTATTCACTGAATTTTAAAACAAAGTAAGTTTTTATAAAGTAATGTAGTTAACTATAACTAACTGTTGGTTAAAAACTTTATAGGTGAAGAATGTTTCCTCTTGGGATCATATGAAAAGGCTGTTGAGCTGTGGAAAAAAGCTCTTCAAGAAATCCAAGAGAAAGGTAGGAGAGTGTTAAAAAATAATATGTGCCATAATGTTGGTAGGAACATATTTTAGCTTGCTGCAGAGCTTAACAATAATTCCAGTTTTCAAGGCACTGACAGTATCTTAATGCCCAAATAGAATACATATTGTAGACAACTTGACTGTCAGAAATACTTACTTAAAATTATTCTTAGTCTTGAAATTTGTAGTGCAAGAATCTTTTCGGTGATGTATAGGTAAGTCTCTTTTTGTCCCTCTTTTGGTTAGTGATGAAATCTGTGGTTGATTATTGATGGGGAAAAATGAGATTTAGATCCTAAATAAAATAATGTGAGAGGTTTTTTAAATCATTTTTCTGAAAGTTCTGTACAATATTATCTCTTAGTTCAGAATTTAGTTGCAGAATTTAGCTACACTCCCAGCAAAAAATCGGGTCCCTTAGGTAGGAGTCGTCGCAAAGGATAAGAAAATAATAGAAAATGGAAAATAATAGAAATAAAAGAATACACAGAGACGAAGGTATAGTTTTATAGATTTATAAAGATAAAAGACAAAAGCGGGGGTACTCAAGGGTCCTTACATTATCCCCATCAATCCTAAGGCCCTGAGTGAAGTTTTACATCGGTATTTGTAGGTACAGTGATCGGTTGCCAAGGGTAACAGATTTACATAATAACAAGTAGTTCATCTTAGGTTAAAAGTATTTCAAAAGGCTTCTTTAGATCCCTTACCTAACTCTGGTTACAAAATCTTTCAAGGACAAACTTCTAAGTTCTAAGATAAAGCTATCACTTAACAGAAGGGTTAAGCAGAGATATAGTGGCTCCATATTTTTTTATCAAGTTATCGTGTATTGAGACAGATAGTCAGGAGTTTAACAGGAACTGTCCCTTGGGCTGATTGCTTTTAGCCACAGGTGTCTGTCTGTTGGGTGGGCATTCTTTGATCAGCTCTCATCCTGTGACTCCTATCAGACCTGCTTTGTCTTTCAAAGCAAGTGAGAACCACAGGTCTGAGATTGCAGCATCACCTTGGAAAGCAGCTGCCACTGACCTTTGAGATGCCCTCCTGAGGTGGAGCAGCTTTTGATATGCAAACTAACATGTTCACATATTCTTTCAGGGAAAAGCCCTGCAAAACTCCTGAGACCATTTCTGTCTCTAATATAGTTATATTAATTTATGGAGCGACATTTAGTCACATTTTCACGTGACCGTATCTAGTGAGAAATAGTGATCTGGGTGCATTGTAACCCCAAATAAAATTGGAATTCTTTTACTTAGGGGGAATGGATAAGAGGTAGGTCACCAGCAGTTTCAGTCCAAAAGACCCTTCAAATATTTAAAAGCAATTGTCAGGGGCTCTTATCTTATTGAATAGCTGTTTCTTCTCCTTCAGGAAGTCTCTTTGATATATGTATGGTTCCTTAGGGGTTTTGTAGTATGTTCCCTTCTGTTTCATACTGGGTGTACTCGAGAAGTCATTAGTAGACCTAATGCTGAGATAATGAGAATTTGAATTTGGATAAAATCTGAGTC